CCACCCTCTACCTCTCCCCCTCACTCTCCCCCCACCTTTCTCCCTCTCCCTTCCCCTTCTCTCTCCCCACTACCTCTCCCTCTCTCTCTCTCTCTCCAGGCCAGAGATGTACTCCTGTGGTGGCCCAACGGCTATGGTCACCAGAACCTGTACCTAACGAACGTGACCTTCACCTCTGGCTCTGACGTGTCCAGCCGCGAGGTCAAGGTCGGCTTCCGGACTGTGGAGCTTATACAGGACCCCGTGTCCTCAGACACTAGCAAAGGTAATAATAGCAATAACAATAGTAATAACAACAATAACACCACCATCAACAGCAACAACAACAACAACAATAATAATAGTAAAAATAATAACAATAGTAATAACAACTATACCACCACCAACAACGACAACAACAACCATAACAACATCACCACCACCTCCACCACCGACAACAACAATAAAACAACAACAACAACAACATCACCACCACCACCATCACCACCACCACCGCCAACAACAACAACAACAACAATTCATTGCAATAAGACTACCTCCCAAAAAAACACAAAACACCATTTAAGGATAATCTTGTGCTGCAATAACAGTCTGGCATCTTCGTCTCATTGAGCAAATTATTCGTTGAATCTTGATGTGGGGCTTACTGGTCCACTCCTCCTTCAAAGCTTGCGTCAATCAATGCAGATTTGAGAGGCAGCGTGATGGAATCAGGCTCTCGTCAATTTTTGGGCATGTAGAGTTATTGGCATCATCTTCAAGCTTGTTCACTTGTCTTTATTTGGATGAAAAAATTATCCGTATAGCTCAAATACAAGTCAAGATATTTGCGAAAGAAGGAGGTGAGGTCACCTGTTTTCAGAGGTAAAATGAGTCAGAAAAAGGCCGCCAAAGATTTGTTATTTGCTTAGCATAAGAGTCCGTGGTAACTGAAAATTGTGCCTTTAATCAACGTTTTTCAGAAAAATCCATACTGAAAAGAGTTCTTTAATGGGCGTGAAAGGTGTTGAGCCAAAAAAGAAAAATTTGATAAAAATTCACAAACCGGCAGAAATATGCAGGTTTCTTCACTTTGATTATTTGGACGAGAGCCTGATTCCACCACGCTGCCTCGCATTTCTTGGTTATTGCAGCACAAGGCAGGCATACTCGTTATTGAAATCACGCTCTTCTAACACAACCTAAACAAATGGGTAAAAGGGAAAGATCAGGGAAACGTAGCTTTTTTGAGGGCATCCGAGCAAAGGAATGAATGGAAAACCATGATCACCGATGTCTGTCGCAGTTCTGGCACTGAATGATGATGATGATGATGACGTTTTGTTCAAAAACTAGTCTTACGTAATAGTATCGTTTCGTCTTTGAATGATGATGATGATGACGTTTTGTTCAAAAACTAGTCTTACGTAATAGTATCGTTTCGTCTTTGAATTAGCTGAAATAATTTACCAGGATTATTAATGTAGCGCGATTATAACCTTTTCGATATTTGGCCTGAAATCTACGGACAGTTGCTTGTTTCCGAGGGTATATGTGAGGCAGCGTGGTGGAATCAGGCTCTCGTCAAAATAATCAAAGTGAAGAAATTTGCATTTTTCTGCAGGTTTGTGAATTTAAAAAAAAATTGTTTGTTGGCTCAACACGTTTCACGCCCATTGAAAAACTCATTTTTGGGCTGGATTTTTCTGAAAAACGTTGATTAAAGGCACCAAAAAAAAATGTAAATTTTGGGTTACCACGGACTCTTAAACTAAGGAAATAACTAATCTTTGGCAGACATTTTCTCACTTATTTTACGTCTAAAATCAGGTGACCCCACCTCCTTGTTTCGCAAATATCTCGATTTGTATTCAAGATAAATGGATATTTTTTTTATACAAATAAAGCAAACTGAACAAACTTTAAGATGATACCAATAACTCTACATGCCCCAAAATTGACGAGAGCCTGATTCCATCACGCTGCCTCACATTTATATAGTTCCCTTTGACCTTCTTTCAGGCCTGAAATCTATGGACACTTACTTTTTCCCGAGGGTATATTATAGTCACCCCTGACCTCTTTGCAGGCTTGAGCTTCTACTTCCGCATCAACGGTCTCCCGGTGTTCTTGAAAGGCTCCAACTGGATTCCCGCCGACAGCTTCCAAGACCGCATCACTAGAGACAAGCTGAGCTTTCTGCTACGGTCTACGGCGGCCGTGGGCATCAACTCTATGAGGGTGTGGGGCGGAGGGGTGAGCTTTTCACCTTTGTGTCATAACAATGATGATGATGATGATGATGATGATGATGATGATGATGATTTGTGATGATGATGATGATGATGATGATGATGATGATGATGATGATGATGATGATAATAATGATAATAATAATGATAAAGCTGATAATTATAATAATAATATACAACAATACATGTGATAATAATAGTAATAATACTTGTACAATGTACTACTAAGTAGTAGTAGTAATAGTAGTAGTAGTAGTAGTAGTAGTAGTAGTAGTAGTAGTAGTAGTAGTAGTA